TCATCTTGTAGTCGCTCCAATTTCATATTTTAACTTCATTGTAAATATTATATGAAATGATACGAGGACTACGATGCCTTAGTTGCACATGCTCAAGACTTACAATTCATTCACACTTTGTAAAGGTTGTACTCATAGTGAGTTCTTCTGCTAAATCTTACCAAGGGTAAGAGTAAGTAGAAAATAGGTTGAAATTGTTTCTAGACCTGCAACCTAGAAGCCTAAGAAAATGACGAACAAAAGCTGAAATTGTTCAATGATATATGTATTTTCTGCAAAGAAAATGACATTGGAAGAGAGGTTGTATGTGTTTCAAGGCACAGGGTGTTGCGAATACTGCATAGAATTTGTTTGCTTAAACAAAAGTTTAAAGTAATACGAAAATCTCCGTTTTCTTATGGCATTGTTGATTTGGTCATATTAATGGGACATTATTATCAAGGTTAAGTAAATTAGATTATTTAACATCACGTGATTTTTAGTTACATGAAATCTGTGTATTTTGTCTTAAATGAAATGATGACCAATAAGTCCTTTTTGGAAAGGGACAAAAGCTAAAGAATGTTTGAGTTGGTCTACATTATTGTATGTGGACCTTACGAAACTCAAGTTAGAAGAGGTTTTTCGTACTCCATAATCTTTACTAATGACTTTAAAGGTTGAGTTATGTGTGTCTTACGGAACACAAATCAAAGCCTTAGAAAATTCAAGAAGTATAAGTTTGGGGTAGAGAAACAACATGACTAAAGTATTTCATGGAGTCCAAATTGTAATGGATACCTCCTAAGACTCATTTGATGAAGTCTTCAAAAGGAGCAATCAAACCTTATTAGATATGGTTAAATCCATGTTAAGTTTCACTACTCTTCCACATATCATTGATGTTATACCTAATTGAACTCGATTTATATTTTGAATAGAGTCCATTGAGATCAGTTGTAAAGACATCATATGAATCATGGCGTGGCAAGAGGCCTTGTCTTCAACATATGTGAACCTGGGGTTTTTCTAGCATATGTGAAGAAACTTTTAACTGATAAATTGGAATCTCAAAGTGAAGAATGTTATTTTGAAGACTATCCAAAGAAACACAAGGATACTAATTCTATTTTCCTGGGGAACATAGAGTAATTGTCTTTAGACAGATAATGTTTCTAGGAGAATATTATTTTTTCAAGGAACAAGGTCGTGTTGTGATAGAACTTGAAAAGTTCAAGAAACTCAAAATAACATTGAGGTTCAAGAATTGTCATTTGGTATTAACAAAGATTTAGAGGGAGGTATTGATGATTCCTTGAATAGAATTTTTTCATTTGATTGACAACTTCTAGCTAGTGGGAATAATATGGGTGAAACTGCAGAAGTGCAGCACACTCATATACAACCAATACCTAATGGCTTGGATGTCGTTCATTCTCAATAAACACATGCAAACGTGATTTTTGAGAACCCTCTAATTGTTGAGAAAGTCTAACGCATAAGAACTTCTTCATGATCAGAATGTCTAACAACAAACACAAATTATTGAACTCCGTAGGTCGAGTGAAACTCGTCGTGAACCAATTAGATTGTCTTTCTTCTTGGAGGATCACGACGATGTGGAGATTCCTAACAGGGATGAACTTAGGACCTATACTGAGTTTATGTAAGACATGGACTTAGGGAGGTGGCTTTATGCCATAAAATCATAAATGGACTCGATGTACACGAATCAAGTTTAGAACTTGGTTGACTTGCCAATTGGGGTTAGACCTATTGGATGCAAATGAGTTTTCAAAAGAAAACAGATGCAAATGGCAAAGTACAAACCTATAAGGCCAGATTGGTTGATAAATGTTATAGTCAATGTGAAGGCATTAACTATGATGAGACCTTTTCACCAACTGCCAAAATTAAGTCCATTTGGATTTTACTTGCAGTAGCTGCATACTATGACTCTGATATTTGATATATGGATGTTAAAATCATTTTTCTTTATGGGAAATTGGACAGTGTGTATATGATACAACCAAAAAGGTTTTACATCCAAGTCAAATTTAAAATTAGTATGCGAGTTAAAAGGGTCCAATTGTGGACTTAAGCAAGCCTCTGGGAGTTGGAATATATGTTTCTACAAAGTTACATAATTATTTGGCTTTGTGAGAAGTAAGAAGGATCTATGCGTTTATAGTAAACGCAATGAGGATAATATTATTTTATCATATATGTATGTGACATATTGATAATTAAATGATGTTCCTCGCCTGCAGTTCATGAAAGATTGATTATCAATTACCTTCATTGTGAAGGACTTGAGTGAAACCTGCTATACACTTGAAATTAGGATCTATCGAGATAGATCTAATAGAGTGTTAGAGTTTTCACGGTCCACGTGTATAGTCAAGGTACTGAAGTGTTTCTCTATGGAAAATTCTAACAAAAGGGAATATTCCAATAGTCATGACATCAAGTTGGCAAACAAAGATTGTCTTTCTGTTGATGCCAAACTTGGGCGCATGAAGAAGATCCCATATGCTTATGCAATGTAGTCTATCATGCATGTTAGGACATGTACGAGGTCTATATGGACGATGCACTTAGTATCACTTACAGATTCCAATAAAATCCTAGGGAGGTGTATTGGAAGACTATTAAGACTATTATTTAGTACATTAGATGGACTAAAGAATATATTTTACTCTATGGTTGGAATAATAATTCAATAGTCTTACATTCATTTCAATGATGAGGCAGTGAGTTGGAATAGTTCCAAGCAATAAACCACTATGAATTCAACCGCAAAGGCCAAGTACATTGTTGCATCAAAAGCCTATGGAGGTTGTTTGATACATGAGTTCTTAAATGAAGTAGGGGTAGTTCCAAGTGCCATTTATCTAATATCTACATATTATGATAAAACGGTGCGATTGCACGGGCAAAAGAACCAAGATCCAACAACAAAATAAGCATGTACAAAGGCACTATCATTTATTTAGAGATAATTGATAGAGAAGAAATAAGTTAGAACGCGTTCAAGCTGGGCATTACTTGAATGGTTCGTTCACCAAACCATTGTGCATAGTTGAGCACAATAGTCATTTTGAAAAAATGTGTATTAGATACATTGGTGATTGCCTCTAGTTCAAGTGGGAGATTGTTGGTATATGTGTCATAGAGACAATCTTTTTAAGGACATTTATACATGATCGCATTAATAATTATATTAGATTATAATTATGGTATTGTAATTAATTAAATAATTGTTTGATTGTTTGCAATTTATTAATTAATTGCTTCCTTGAGTTGATACTGTCATTAACAGAGTGAGATGTTAATTGATAAAGTATAACTCTTAAATCGCCTAAATCGATGATCATTAAGAAAGGGATATTAATGATACGCGATAGATTGACATGTGGTCTGCATCATATTCTTTGAGAATATAGTATGTCTCACTACTATGAATAATTGTTATTCGTGATGTACACATGGATACTTTAGAGAGTATTGGCATACCCTACCAATAAACCATTTGTTTATGTGTCTATGAAAGTATCGGTGTGTGGAATGGTGTAATAGTCTTTTGACTTGAGGTCAATACGCAATTCATATATAGAGTGATGTACTTATACCTAGTCCAAAGCTTACGCCCTTATGGGTAGATACGGGCTTGTGTTGGGTTGGTCACAATATACATGGAATTGGTAGTTGAGCCAAGATAGGATTCATTCCTCGAATATAGTTTCGAGAGAACACTCGTTTTCTCTATACTGGGTTGATAAAGTCATTGGCAGCACGTGATTATATTTGAAATGGTTCAAATATAATTGATAAAATCAACCAGTGAGATGAGATAAAATGATTAAGCTGTTTGGATAGACACACGTTCAAATCCTAAGCATAATCGAGTGGTTCGTGAATGAAGGGACCGTATCACTATTGAGTTCTACACGAAAGGTTTGTTTGCTTGTCCATGTAAACGTACTTCATATTTTGAGTTCGTCCTTCGACGCAGTAAGGATCATAAATTAGATTTATGTCAATATATGAAGGCCTATAGGGTCACACAATAAGCAATCAGTTTTTCGGCTAAGAGTGAATCGAGAGTATTAAATATTCAATTGGATTGAAAATATTTATTTTTGAGTAATGAGATTATTTTCTATTTGATGGAAAATATTTAATTAAGTTAAATTGGATTTACACTTAATTAAATTATTAATTGAAAAATAATTAATTAAGTTAAATTAGATTTATACTTAATTAAATTATTAATTGGATTAGGTCCAATTATCTATTGTGCTATAGGGTTTCCTAAAGCCCATATGATTAGGTTTGACCTAATTATAAATATCTCATTATCTCATTCATAATTATCATCGATTAGATCGAATCATTAGATGGAAGATGAGAGACACATCGTAAAAAATAATAACACTCTCTAGCTTTCTGGATCGAAGATTCCTAGCTTCTTCACCAGAAGGGACTCATTGGCGTTAGATCGTGCACCGGAAAACTGGATTGCGTGGATACCATAGTGGAGGACAAAAGACGAATAACTGTAAGTTTTCGTGTTTCATTCACGCGATCTAGGATCGTATCCAATAGCTATAGCCGGATCTTCGTTGTTGGTAAGAAAAATTTTAAAATTCTTCTGCGCGTGCGATTGATTCGTACGTCTAAAATCCAACAATATTATAATAACAAATATAATTAATAACTAAAACCATTAGACGTAAAATCGATTCAACCATATATATGATTCTCAACTATGTACATACCTATAGACTGTAGTCTCATTACGTATATAAAACACCGGTTTTAGCATTAATTAATTATTTCCATTCATTTTTCTGGCTTCAAAGTCAAAAGATGTGATAAAAATCAAAGTCACAATGAGTATCCATCCATTTGGTCAACTCAAAACATATCCTCAGTCAACCTACTTCCCCCGCACTCAATAGTATGTCCTCAGCTACAAATTAACCTCATTAATCCTACACTTCCACCAGATTCCCAAAATGGGTACTCAAATCAGCCGGCCGACCCGCGCCGCCAGCACCCGCCACCCGCCTCCTCCGCCTCTGGCCGAGCCGCCGGCTCGCACCGTCTCCAACCCTAACCCCAATCCCGACGCGCCGATTGACGACGACATTAGCTCGTACGAAGCCGCGTGCCGCGCCGACCCCGACCTCCGGACCCTCGACTCGAGCCTCCAGCTCCGCACGAGCCGCGCCATCAGCTCCATCGCCGTAGGCCTGGAGACCCGCTCCCTCTCCCTCGACTCCCTCAGCGAGGTCACCGAGTGCCTCCTCGAGATGAACCAGGAAGTCGTCAAAATCGTCCTCCAGAACAAAAGGGACGTCTGGAAGAACAAGGAGCTCTTCGATCTGGTCGACGACTACTTCGACAACAGCCTCCTCACCATGGACTTCTGCGCTTCCCTGGACGCGTGCCTCCAACGCGCCGCCGGCATCGAGTCCGCCATCAATCTCGCCCTCCGCAGATTCGAGGAGGAGCATTCTGCTGAAGCTCCCGCCAAGGATTATTCGAGAACCCTGGAGGAATTGAGGAATTTCAGGGGCGCGTCAGATCCATTCGCCCAGGAATTCTTCAAAATCTTCAGCTCCGTCTACGCGCGGCAGAGCCTGACGCTGGAGAACCTCCAGGCGAAGAAGAGGAAGCTCGACCGGAAATTGGGGAAGCTCAAGGCATGGCGGAGGGTCTCGAACGTGATCTTTGTGGTCACTTTTGCTTCGGTCCTTATATGCTCGGTGGTGGCGGCGGCCGTGGCGGCGCCGCCGGTGGTGACGGCGCTTGCCGCAGCGGCGGCCGTGCCGCTGGGGTCAATGGGGAAGTGGCTGAACTCGCTTTGGCAGAAGTGGGAGCGGGATTTGAGGGGGCAGAGGGAGATAATCAGCTCGATGCAGATTGGGACGTACATTGTGCTTAAAGATTTGGACAGCATTAGGGTTTTGGTGGACAGGTTTCAGATCAAGATCGAGGATTTATTGGCTAATGCCGATTTTGCGGCGAATGGAGATGAGTCTGCTGTTGTGGTGGCTGTGAAGGAAATTAGGGAGAAGGCTGGCGATTTTTTCCGGACCATACATGATTTGAAAGAGCACGCGAGTAAGTGTACTCAAGAGACCAGAATGGCTCGGACTTTGATATTGAGGAGGATTATTAATCACCCGAGTGAGTCTGATAGGGACATTGGTATGTTTTCGTGATGTCCCCAGTTTTGTTTGCTGTTGCCTATTGAGCCTGATTATATTTATATAGAATTAACGTGTAAAGAAATCTTGATTGGATCTCTATTTCTTGTCTATGGATATCCTTTATTTATGAGAAAGGGAGCTGCTTGATGACTTCTCTATTCTGAGTATATGGTTTGAGGTTAACAATGTCCAGCATTCACAATATGTGTAGCAGTGTGTGTGAAGTTGAAAAAGATAGTTTCTTGATTTCAGTTCTGCTTCTGATTCTGCATAGTTTACTAGTTAACCAGGTGAAATCTTCTTTTTAACTAATTCAATTTGTGTCTGAGGAGAAAATACTGTTAGCTTCTAATTGTGAGCAACTTCAGCTCCCTCTACAGTAAATCTGTTTTCACAAACTGTTGGCGTCGGGCTTGGAACAAAAATGCACCGACTAGCTGGTTCAACTTGATGCTTAACAATTCAGCAGAAACTGAATATTTTGTTGTTGTACAATTAATTATGAAACGTATTACCTATCACGGGGCATTTGTATTGAGTATTTGAATCACGCGCACCGTGTGGTTGATACTCAACTCCTTTGATTACAATTTACATCCGCTTGAACTCATAAGAAAGCTTGTGATGTTGTGACACGCAATTACTCATGGGGCGCTTATAATGGCAGAAGGGATAATTGAATTGGAATTTGATTGGGCAGAAGTTTTTTGTGTTAAAAAACACCACCGTCAAATGCTCCACATTTTTGCCAGTAAATCATGTGTACGGTGTGAATAAAACTAGCACCATGGCATGGTGTAGATGCCAACTTCTGAGACCAACTTTATCCATGGCCTCCTATTGGGTTGTTCGGATAGGGAAAAAAAATGGTTTTTTTCTCGTGACTCAGGTCACATTGTGACCTTGAATCGCAACTGGTGGAGGAGAAGAATGTGACACTTTCCCCATTTTTATTGGTCAACATTATTCAATTCCGTCAAATCCGTAAACTCTAGTTAGTGATGGTTCTGCAAGTCCTGAATATGGCTAAAAATAAAGAAAAAATGTAGCATCACAATCTTCTTCCATTTATGATGAGTTCACTGTGGAAATTCGTGCACTAAGACTTACAAGAAATAACGGATAAATTAATGACCAAAATAGCGAATGATAGGATGGAGTTGAAACGCAAATAGGAAGAAGGAAGAAAATGAATATTATAATGTTGAATACGTTGTTGGCCAACTTAACGTCGGAAGATGAATAATTGAAATGTCGTTTAACAACAATTGTATTTGGAAATTCACTGTAATTTTTCGCTGTGTAACTTTAATTTATGTCATTGTAGTTATTCTCGTGTAAGCTTTTCTATTCATGAATTCGAGTTATGCTACAAATATCTAATTAGTATTTTTTTTTTTTACCTAATCTTTTTGGAACACATGTTACTTCCATGATTGTTCTACCTACTAGTATAATATTTACATGCAAAATGAACAACCAAGACTTGTTTGGAAGATAGTGTATGTGTAACGCCCCACTTTGATTTAAACGAAAATCCATGACTTTTTAGAAAAATCAAACTTAATTCTTTTTTTTTCAAAACTCAATTCATACGTTTGTGGCGTTACTCATTTATTTCAAAATCTCTTTTTCAACATCATAAGTCACAATAATATCATAATATCATCAACTCCATAAAAAGGGTTCCTCCAATTTCATCCAACACTCAAACCGGGTTTTCAAAAACATCACAGTGTTCACGGAGCATCTCCCCAACATTATTTCAAATCACAATATTCTTAAGTTGATAAATTCATAAATCAGTTCATAAAATAGCGGAAGCAACAATTAATATTCCGGTCATAAAGACCGACTACCACTTGCTCTATTCCGCCGTCATGCCTGCCCTGCTTAGCCTGAAATGTTAATTTCAGGTGGGAGTGAGCACATATGGCAACTGGATTCGTATTAATGTGACTTGTGTGATGCAAGTTGAGTAAATTTCAAAATCGCTGCGCGGGTTATGTTTTGAAAATTCATGTGGTTCTTTCGAAAATAAAATTTATCTTTTAATTGCTTGTTTATATGACTTATATGGGCTGTAATAATCTAAGTGTTTTTTATATGAATCATAAATGCCTTGTGTTAGTTAGTGCATGGGTCGGATAGTTATTGATAGGGCCCTCTTAATTATTGTAGGTGTTTGACGAGTCGAGCTCTCAACCTACTTGTATTTTCGTGATATCTATTGCTTCCAACCATGTGGGTTTTATTTGAAATTTTCTATGCCGTAATAAATTGTTGCCTTACGTGTGGTATGATCAATGTATGCATGTGAACCATGTAGCCTTCGATGTGAGCTGTATCGGCCGTCGAACGGTTATCCCGTGGTTATAAAATAAACCCGAGGGGTTACTCCTACTGATTGGGCATCGATAGAAACCCGTGGGACATTCGGTGTATAAGCCCGAGGGGCATAGACGTAAAGCCCATGGGGCATTTGATGCATGACTTGAGCGAAGGCCATCAAAACGTCTACCAACAGTAGTCTATGCGTAGGTGTGCACATGAGTCTGAACACTGTGAATTTATGATGAAAATTTGGGATACTTGATTGATTCATATACATGCTACGATCGTACCTATTGATTTTATAATTGTGATTATTGCACAGTGGTGAGCACCTCGTTTTTCCCTATATGAATCCTAAGACATGCCTCTACAACTTCTATGAAGATATCAACAACAAATAAGGTCATCTACCAGGAGATAAATTATCAAACATTTGAAACAGAGTTGCTGTTAAAAATCTGGACACATACTGCTGACATGACCTCAGTATTTGCAAGATAAATGAAGCTACAGACATGCTTTTAGGGAGATTCAAAAACTAAACTGCAGCTAACACAATTATCTACAACTTTGCTGAAGACCCTATTGACAAATAATGATATTATCAACGAATTTAAACACAAAACATGCAATTCATATTATCTGCCCGAAAACAAAACAGGATACAAACAGCACTTCAGAAAATGGACCCTAACTCATGATACATACCATCAAATGACCTGGTTCTAAAACCTATGGACAACTAAAAAAAAAGGCTACAATTTTTATGATGATCACTTTTCAGTTTGAGCACATAAAGACATCGAAAACAAGCCATACATAGAAATAATACAAGTTGCCGGGTTTTGTTAAAAACTGTCTGCGCGACAATTTTGTAGAAATCATAACTCCCTCGTTTCAAAACGGATTTTCAAAATTCTAAAACTCACATACAGAAAACAGAATAAACTACATTTTACATGAAGATCACATCTTCATAAAACAAGTATTTCATGGCCATCATATCAGAACAACAGAGGCTGGAAATTCACCATTATCATAACATGTGATATACAATTTCATGATTTCACAGAACACCTTTTTAAAACAACACCAACATCATCATAACAGCATTTTAACATCATCCTACACATTTTTAACACATAATAATAAGGCGCGGGTTTCACGGTTAGCTAGAACTCATCAAGACGTCAAAGACTTCACATCATTCAATCGTATATATTAAACCCTTATAAGAAATTAATCATGAGCTCATAACATCACACAAAATATAACGTGAGAACGAAGAGTGTCGAGCCATCGTGTACCATCCTCATGAAAAGACACTCGAAAACGAGTCGAAAGAGGGTTGTTCGGGGGTCGGTCGCGCGTGTGGTGCTCGACAGCTACGCGTGGCTCGCCGGTTCTTCACATCGAGGAGCAGCGGTTGAGGGTTGCTTGCGGAGATGATCCTGCGCGTCAGCGGAGGAGCAGCGGCGTCGGGAGTTGATCACAAGGGAAGCGAACGGAGGACGGGGGCTCTTCGGGACTGCTCGCAAAGGGGAAGATGCAGGGGGGTTGCAGGACGGCGGAGGATTCACCGGTCTGCTCGTGGAAGGGAAATTCACGATAAAAAAAAAAAAATACTTAGGTTTAAGAGTCTTGTTCTCCAAGTCAAAAGAAATGGATCACGGGTCGGATTAGTTCGGGTCGGCCGGTTCTTGGGCGCGGGTCTTTGCCGGTTTATCGGGCTCGATTCGTTTAATACGATATGAAAACAACACTCGGAAAAATAATACGCAACTTCCGGAAAAATTAAATAAATTAAATCCGGTAATATATTTATATATTTATCCGATATTCACACAATGCTCGGAAAAATAGAATACGACGACCCGCGAATTATAAATAAATAAAACCGATATTATATATTTATTAGCAAATAATAATAAATATATTATCAAGCAATTATTTCATTTTGGCAATTATATAAAATAAATAATAATATTAATAATGCAAAAAATATCCAAAAATCTTATAAATAAATGGGGCATTACAGTATGAGTTATCACTATCAAATAGCAACTTTAATTTTTCTTCCAAAACACACATGTATTGTTTTTCAAAAATGTTTTTGTAATAAGTCAAACGACATTCATTTACTTTACTTTTATTTTACTTTTACTTTTGTTTTACTTTACTTTTCTTTTATTTTTATTTTTACTTTATTTTTACTTTAAGTCATCTTAAATCTACACAAAATTTACTCTTCGTATTTTATTCTTATATATTCTGATTGGATCCATATCAAATTTATATCAAAATCATCTCATAGTCATTTACTTTATATCAATTATAACTCTGTTTTTCATAAGTCAATTCATTTTTGTTCACAAATGTCTTCAATTAAAAACTCATCTAAAAATTCAACTTCTAGTTCTGAATCTTTCGAATTTGAAGAATGGGAAGAACGAGTGGTTCAAAAAAATCGAGGATTTGATCACATCATGTGTTCAGTGACTACTTTTATGATAATCCAACTTATCCTGAAGATGTATTTAGTCGTAAATTTCTGACAATCCAAGTTATCAGTCAAAACATCAAGATCCCTCTTTTGGAAGAGGTAGATCTCCTGGATATGGAAGAGGAAGGTGTGGAAAAAGCTCCTATAGAGGTGGCTATAGGGAAAGAGGTTCCAG